CACCCCTCAAAAGGCCCTAGTATGTGATGTTCCTCTTCCTGTGCCCATATGTTCTCATTGTTCAACTTATGAGTGAGAACATGTGGTGTTTGGTTTTCTGTTCCTGTGTTAGTTTGCTGAGAAAGATGGTTACCAGCTTCATCCATGTCCCTGCAAACAACATGAACTCATTCTTTTTTATGGCTGTATAGTATTCCATGTTGTATATGTGCCACATTTTCTTTAACCAATCTAACATTGATGGGCATTTGGGTTTGTTCCAAGTCTTTGCTATTGTGAATAGTGATGCAACAAACATAAGTGTGCATGTGTCTTTATAGTAGAATGATTTATGCTCCTTTGGATACTTACCCTGTGTGGGATTGCTGGGTCAAATTGTATTTCTAGTTCTAGATCCTTGAGGAATTGCCACACTGTCTTCCACAATGGTTGAATTAATTTACACTCCCACCAACAGTATAAAATTGTTCCGATTTCTCCACATCCTCTCCAGCTCTGCTGTTTCCTGACTTTTTAGTGATAACCATTCTAACTGGCCTGAGCTGGTATCTCATTGTGGTTTTGATTTGCATTTTTCTAATAACCGGTGATGATAAGCTTTTTTTCCTAAGTTTGTTGGCTGCACATATATCTTCTTTTGAAAAGTGTCTGTTCATATCCTTTTCCCACTTTTTGATGGGGTTGTTTCTTTCTTGTAAATTTGTTTAAATTCCTTGTAGATTCTGGATATTAGCCCTTTGTCAGATGGATAGATTGCAACAATTTCCTTCCATTCTGTAGGTTGCCTGTTCATTGTGATGATAGTTGCTTCTGCTGTGCAGAAGGTCTTTAGTTTAATTAGATCCCATTTGTCAATTTTGGCTTTTGTTGACATTGCTTTTGGTGTTTTAGTCATGAAGTCTTCACTTATGCCTATGTCCTGAATGGTATTGCCTAGGTTTTCTTCCAGGGTTTTTATGGTTTTAGGTCTTAAGTTTACATCTTTAATCCATTTTGAATTAATTTTTGCATAAGGTGTAAGGAAGGGGTCCAGTTTCAGTTTTCTGCATAATGGCCAGCTAGTTTTCCCAACACCATTCTTTAAATAGGGTATCTTTTCCCCATTGCTTATTTTTGTCAGGTTTGTCAAAGATCAGATGGTTATAGAAGTGTGGTGTTATTTCTGAGCCCTCTGTTCTGTTCCATTGGTCTACATCTCTGTTTTGGTACCAGTACCATGCTGTTTTGGTTACCGTAGCCTTTTAGTATAGTTTGAAGTCAGGTAGTGTGATGCCTCCAATTTTGTTCTTTTTGCTTAGGATTGTCTTGGCTATACAGGCTCTTTTTTTTGGTTCCATATAAAATTTGAAGTAGGTTTTTCTAATTCTGTGAAGAAAGTCAATGGTAGCTTCATGGGGATAGCATTGAATCTGTAAATTACTTTGGGCAGTATGGCCATTTTTATGATATAGATTCTTCCTAACCATTTTCATGTTTTTGCATTTGTTTGTGTCCTCTCTCATTTCCTTGAACAGTGATTTATAGTTTTCTTTAAGGAGATCCTTCACATCCCTTGTAAGTTGTATTTCTAGATATTTTATTCTCTTTGTAGCAATTGTGAATGGGAGTTCACTCATGATTTCGCTCTCTGTTTGCCTATTATTGGTGTATAGGAATGCTTGTGATTTTTGTTCATTGATTTTGTATCCTGAGACTTTGCTGAAGTTATTTATCAGCTTAAGGAGATTTTGGGCTGAGGCAAAGGGGTTTTCTAAATATGCAGTCATGTCATCTACAAACAGATATAATTTGACTTCCTTTCTTCCTGTTTGAATACTTTTTTTTTTCTCTTGCTGGATTGCCCTGGCCAGAACTTCCAACACTGTTGAATAGGAGTGGTGAGAGAGGGCATCCTTGTCTTGTGCTGGTTTTCAAAGGGAATGCTTCCAGCTTTTGCTTTCAGTATGATATTGAGCCAATGAATATTTAAGGATATTAATTTACTTCCTCTAATAGTCTTTAAGAAATCCAAAAAATAAACATATGGAATAAAGAAATAAAATGTCAAACTTCAAGCTTCAGCTCTCACTGAGGACTGTGTTTTGGCATTGACCGTATCATTACCTGCCTAGTTATGAGGTCATACTTCTGCATAACTCATTAGAATTTACCTTTAATTTTATAGCAAACCATAACTGCAAAGCCAACGTGTTCTTGTCAACATTTATTGCGTGGGCATAAATTTTTCAAGGGCATATATTAAAGAAAAGTAAAAGGACAGAGTCTCTCCAAAGTTCTTTGGATTAAGAGTCTTAATGATACTTAAAAATATTTCATTCAGGGTATCATTTTGGGAACTTTCTCTAGCATTCTAATGATCCACAGATAATATTTAATATCATTTCATTTTGAGACAATAGGCTTTAAATTTTCTTCCTCAATTTTTCTTTCCTTATGTATATGTTACTTTGTTTTTAAAAAGGATTTAAGGCAGCCTTCTTTATTAGAACATGTCTTCTCTATAATGCAATAAAATCCTCAAAGCTGAGGAACATATCTGTAGTGGGATATGGGAAAGCACAAATTTAAATTAATTCTCATTGAAATGCTTACTATTCATGCTTTAGAGATACCACAGTGTCGTGAAAAGCATATCAAATTTTTAGTCAAAAAAATGATTTCATTCTCTAGCACTTACTTGATGGTGCAATTTTGACAAATCTTTTGACCTCAGTATTCCTACCTATAAGCTGGAAATAATATCTTCATCATAGACTTACTATAAGGATTAAATAATTAATGTTTATGAGAGAGTGTGTGGTATCTGGTAGGCACTACACACATTTTATTGATCCATTTGGCCAGTAAAAATACCCACAAAAGGGTCATTTCATATTTTTACCTAAAAGCTTGTGCTTGCATCAGTTCTGTTTCTGTAAATAGTTCATTCATGAATGATTCCTACAACTATAATGTAGTTGTAGCTTTCTCATGCCATAACATGTATCTTAAATGCTCATATTCTTTTCTTTTCCTTCCTTCCTTTCCTTCCGTCCTTCCCTCCTTTCCTTCCTTCCTTCCTTTCCTTCTTTCCTTCTTTTTTTCTTTTTTTCAGGGTCTTGCTGTATCACGCAGGCTGGAGTTTGGTGATGCGATGATGGCTCAGTGCAGCCTGACCCCCCCTGGCTCAAGCAATCTTCCCATCTTCTGAGTAGCTGGGACCACAGGTGCAGATCACCATGCCTGGCTAATTTTTGTATCTTTTGCGGACACAGTCTCACTATGTTTCCCGGGCTGTTCTTGAATTCCTTGGCCGAAGTAATCCTTCTGCCTTGGCATCCCAAAGTGCCGGGATTACAGGCATGAGCCAATGCACCCAAAATGCTAATTTTCTTTTAAAGAATTTAATTTTAAAGGAAAAAAGGTTTGTCCTTGATTACTTTTCAACTGAGAAATCAGTGGTTTAAAGGAGGTATCCTACGACTTCATTTTAAACATAATCTTTCAGAATGATGAATGAGGGTATACTTTATGACTTGAGTTGGTTTAACAGTGTAAACTTTCACAGCCTTTAATTCAAGTGTCCCTGAATTCTGTTTTCAGGCTTCGGCTACCACTTCAATGAATACAGCATCAGTGCCTCAGACAAGTGACAAGGAAATCCTCATATAACCTTAAAAAGGGAGAGAAAGGAATGGGGAAGTGCCTAAGCCTAACAGAGGAATAAGTCTTCTCAGAATCCAAGCCCAGATAAACATTTGAACGGGAATGGTACCTTCCTGTGTGTGGTGGAAGACGCGTCCCTTTCAGGCTGCAGATTTTGGCAGGCTGGCGTGTTGACTTTGTCACCTCGCGCTCGCTCGGTTTCCGCCGCCTCGCCGCGGGCTTCCGCCTGCGCATGCGCACACCGCCGCTTGCTGCGCGCCAAGACCGGGCCGCAGGCGCAGTCCTGTGAGTGCTCTGGGAACCTCTGTCAGCCTTCGGCCTCCCCTCCCTGCTGCCGAATCGGCCGCCATCAGACGTCATTTTAGCTCTATCTGCCTAACATCCCTGGCAGTCAGGAGTCTCTGCACAACACAGAGAACCGACGACATCCCTATCGGAAGATCAGCGCCACTTTCCTCATTTCAGTCTGGCGGTAAAACTCCATACGATCGGATTAAATGGGAGGAAAAGCAAGAGGCAGATAAAAATGTTTGCAAGTTTGGGTTGTAGACCTAAAAAGGTCTAAAAAGACGTGTAGACCACAGCAGTCTGGCAAATACAGATCCTTAACAAGTCCCGTTTGTTGACACAGGGCAGTGGGCAGTTTAAAACGCCATTTGGGAGGTACCTTAACCGTCCTAAACGTGGATACCGCCCAGGTTGCCCTCTTCATTGGCTGGCATCTGAGAGAGAGATGGATTCAAGAGGCCGTTTCTGGGGGCAGAAGACTGGTACCCAGTGCTCACATTCTCACCACCAGGGGCCCCCAACCCCATGACCTGATGAGGCGGTTGCCTAAGAGTTAGTTTGAAGAATGTCATCAGGCTCTTAGATGAAGTAAGAATGCCAGAAATAATGTGTTATCCAAATGAGAACCATCTGTCGTTTGTAAGTATTTTTAAGTATTTGCAAAGTTTTCAAAAAATAGTTTTGCTTGCTTTTTGAAAGTCACTCCATGACAAAGATGATTATGTCACATGCCTTAGTTCACTTCAGGCTTTATCTTTGAGAGATTAAGAATTTTAATTATTATGATTGTTATAGTAAAGTAACAAATCATTGTTTATCATTAGCACTTCGATCCGCTTGCCTTTTTGAACTGGATCTCTCCCCCTTGCCATAAGCTTTGTTCTTTCAGCTACACTTCATTGTTTTTTTAAATTTCAGTAGGTTATTGGGAAACAGGTGGTGTTCGGTTACACAAATAAGTTCTTTACTGGTGATTTCTGAGATTTTGGTGCATCTATCACTCAGGCAGTGGACAGTATACCCATTGTGTTTTCTTATTACTCTTCACCCCTCCCACTTTCTGCCACCCAGTCCCCAGAGTCCATCGTATCATTCTTACGCCTTTGCATCCTCATAGCTTAGCTCCCACTTATAAGTGAGAACGTATGATGTTTGATTTTCCATTCCTGAGTTACTTCACTTAGAATAATGGTCTCCAACTCCATCCAGGTTGCCGCAAATGCCATTATTTCGTTCCTTTTTATGGCTGAGTAATGCTTGTTGTGTATTTTATATTTATATATATGCGTGTGTGTGTGTGTGTATAAAATACACACCATGTATATATATACATTATATATATATTATACCTATCATGTATATATATATACAGCATGTATATACATACACATATATGTTTGTGTGTGTGTGTGTGTGTGTGTGTGTGTGTGTATAATTTTATTTATCCACTCGCTGATTGATGGGCATTTGGACTGGTTCCATAATTTTGTAATGGTAAATTGTGCTGCTATAAACCTGCACGTGCAAGTGTCTTTTTCATATAATGACTTCTTTTCCTCTGGGTAGATACCCAGTAGTGGGATTGCTGGATCAAATGGTAGTTCTACTTTTAGTTCTTTAAGGAATCCCCACACTGTTTTCCATAGTGCTTGTACTAGTTTACATTCCTACCAACAATGTAGAAGTGTTCCCTTTTCACCACATCCACACTGACATCTATTGTTTTTTGATTTTTGGATTATGGCCATTCTTGCAGGAGTAAGATGGTACACATTGTGGTTTTGATTTGCATTTTCCTGATAATTAGTGATGCTGAGCATTTTTTCATATGCTTATTGGTCACTTGTATATGTTCTTTTGAGAACTGTCTATTTATGTCCTTAGCCCAGTTTTTGATGGGATTGTGTTTCTTGCTGATTTGTTTGAGTTCCTCATAGATGTTGGATATTAGTCCTTTGTTGGCTGTATAGACTGCGAACATTTTCTCTATTCTGTAGGTTGTCTGTTTGCTCTGCTGATCGATTCTTTTGCTGTGCAGAAGCTTTTAGTTGAATTAAGTCCAATCTATTTATTTTAGCTTTTGTTGCATTTGCTTTTAGGTTCTTGGTCATGAAGTCTTTGCCTGAGTCAATGTCTAGAAGGGTTTTTCCAGTTTTATTTTCTAGAATTTTTATGGTTTCAGGTCTTAAATTTAAGTCCCTGATCCAACTTAAGTTTATTTTTGCGTAGGGCGAGAGGTGAGGATTCAGTTTCATTCTTCTACTTGTGGCTTGCCAATTATCCCAGCACCATTTATTGAATAGGGTGTCCTTTCCCCACTTTATGTTTTTATTTGCTTTGTCAAAGATCAGTTGTCTTTCAGCCAGACAGAGGGTTAGCAAGGCCCAGGTCTTCAATAGTCAACAAAAACAGGAATATGATGTTCATTCTAGTACTCAACTTATTCCTCAGAGCAAAGGCTAGAATAAATAACCAATTTTAAAATAAGAAAAGTGGTTTGGGCTAGGTGCAGTGGCTCACGTCTGTGATCCCAGCACTTTGGGAAGCTGAGGCAGGCAGATCATTTGAGGTCAGGAGTTCGAGACCAGCCTGACCAACATAGTGAAACTTCATCTCTACTAAAAATACAAAAAATTAGCTGGGCATGGTGGTCACATCTATAATCTCAGCTTCGTGGGATGCTGAGGCAGGAGAATTCCTTGAACCCAGGAGGCAAAGGTTGCCATGAGCCAAGATCACACCACTGCACCTGGGAGACAGAGCAAGATTCCTTCTTAAAAAAAGAGAGAGAGAGGAGAGGGGGGAGAGAGAGAGAGAGAGAGGAGAGAGAGAGAAAGAAAAGAAAGAAAGAAAGAAAGAAAAGAAAGAAAGAAAGAAAGAAAGAAAGGAAGGAAGGAAGGAAGGAAGGAAGGAAGGAAAGAAGAAAGAAAAGTGGTCTGATTTTTGCAAAACATGAAAACATTCACCCAAATTTACAAAGCTAGGGTCTAATGAACCTGCCTGTGACTTTTTGGACAATTTATGAGCTTTTTACAAAGATTGATAGGATTAAATGAGATAATGTTTATAGAGGACTTGGCAGAGTTTGGCACACAAGGTAACACTAAATTTAAAAAAGCAATTATAGGCCAGACACGGTGGCTCATGCCCATAATCCCAGCATTTTGGGAGGCAGAGGCGGGCAGATCACGAGGTCAAGAGATCAAGACCATCCTGGCCAACATGGTGAACCCCGTCTCTACTAAAATTATAAAAATTAGGTGGGCGTGGTGGCGCATGCCTGTAGTCCCAGCTACTCAGGAGGCTGAGGCAGAAGAATCGCTTAAACCCAGGAGGTGGAGGAAGCAGTGAGCTGAGATCGTGCCACTGCACTCCAGCCTGGCAGCAGAGTAAGACTCTGTCTAAAAAAGAAAAAAAAAGAGCAATTACAAGGCTGATAATACTGCTTGTTATAACAAGCCTCCAGATTTTATTGAAATCAAAGAGTGGGAGAAGTGGAAGATCATGTTAACCATTGCTCATACAACTGTTCTGCAGTGCTCTAGAACTTCTTGGATCCCTGTAAAACAACTTACTCTGGAGAAACATTCTACAACACTTGTCAAACGGCATTGGCTTGTGCTTGTCTGGCATTAACTATATGCCAGTAAGAATAGTTTGGGTTTTACTGACAGATGGATAAAGTTCTGGGGTCTTATCATTTGGGTCCCCAAACAGTCAACTTTGGCCTTGGCTAGCAAGTTTCCTCCAGACTTAGGTAGATTCATATCCTGGGTTTCCCAGAATAGCATCATCAATTTGTAACTCACTTCATTGCCCGGACTCTATTCTTGACCAACCTGTGGTGTAAGAACCATGGCTCCTAGTGGTTGTTCAAGATTTGGCAGGTGGGCTGAACTCTAAAATGATGTTTTACAAGACGGTAGATCTTGCTCTGGCTGGAGCTGGATGCAGCAGCTTCACTGGGGTGGTAGATTGCATGTAGCAGAGGGGAGGCAGGAATATGCCAGCTCAGTCTGAAACTGGCTGAAGTCCCAAATCATCATTAACTTTTCCAAGCGACAACCACAATTCAATGACCAACCTCAAGCCCGCCTTCAGGACTTGGCATCACAGTCAAAGAGCCAGACCCCCACCAGGACTGGAAATGTCTTCAGGTAGACTGGGCCTGCAAACTCAGTGAGTAGCTGTCTACTTTTGTGGCCTCATAATGGTTTGGCTCTGTGTCCCCACCCAAATCTCACCTGGAATTGTAATAATCCCCACGTGTCAAGGGCGGGACCAGGTGGAGATAATGGATCATGGGAACAGTTTCCCCCACACTGTTCTTGTGATAGTGAGTGAGTTCACACGAGATCCAATAGTTTTGTAAGGGGCTTTCTGCTTTGCTTGGCACTCCTTCTCTCCCCTGCCACCCTGTGAAGAGGTGACTGCCGCCATGCTTGTAAGTCTCCTAAGCGCCCTCCCCCAACCCCCACCCCCTCAGTCATGTGGAATTGTGAGTCAATTAAACCTCTGTTCTTTATAAATTACCCAGTCTCAAGTATTTCTTCATAGCAGCATGAGAATGGACTAATACATGGTCACTGTGATTTCAAGAAAGCAAACCCTCAAATTTTAGAATCAATGTACCAAAGTCTTAGTCTGACCTGAGGATACCAGATGCCTCTAACAGCCTCTTTTCAGAGAGCAGAAGCAGACAGTTATTCTCCGTTACTTGTCATTTTCTGTTTTTCCATCCTTGTGCCCTTGTGGATGATTGGGTTGTATGTGTGGGATGGGGGATATGGATCTCATAAGCCTACACCAGGACAAGCTGGGCAATGAAGCTGACCTGGCGGGGACTGAAATCACAGCCTTCTCAACATAGAATGTAGCATCCTGGTTACGACTGAGGCCAGCTTGAGGGCAACTTGGGAGGGTTGGCCCTCCCTCCCCTTTTCTTGAGCCTTAATCCTTTTCCTTCCTGCCTCACTTCCCGCATTTCCACCATGCTCTTTATATTTCATTTGTGGCTTTTTAAAAGCCCCCAAAGATATGCATCAGACTGTTAGTACTGGTTAATCTCAATGAGGATATTTTCACTTTAAAAGCTCTCTCTACATTTTTGCATAATATTACTTGTTGCTTTAAGGATTTATTACTTCTGAAATTTAAAAAAAAAGTTAATCTGCTATGAAAAACAAGAAAAAAACTAAAATAAAAAATAAAAGACAAGTTAATAAATATATATATTTTTTCCTTTACCAATCTCCTCCTCCAAGACTTCTGGCTCAAAAGTGATTCTTCCTTCTAACCCCGATCAAAATTTTTATTTCCAGAATGCTGGTTTTTCAGCTAGATAGTGATCAAACTATTTGGTTAAAGTGATTCCACTAATGTGTGTGTGAGACGTGTTGCTGGGTGATGTTGACATTGACAATTATCCAAGGCGTGTCCGGAGGGCATTTGCAGAGCACATTGGTATGGGTGGTAATCCCCCTACTGCTGGCTTCATTTAGAACCTTGAGCATGTCACTTCAAATGCCTGTATCTCTTGCTTAATTCTTCATCTAACATGCATAACTAAGAAAATAATACTACTCTGCTTGCTAACCTTACAAAAATACATTTTTTTCTTAGTCTGTGATTACCCATTGTGTTTTCTCCTGGGTCTGGTGGAAATGGTGGTGGTGGGATGTAGGGAGCTGGAGAGAAAAATGGGAGCATCACCTTTCTTTGCAAAGCCAGAAGGTACATCCCCATTGACCTAGATGTCTCATGATTTTTTTTTTTGCCAAAGGTATATTTACCCTCAAGAGTAACTTGCAGTTGAGAACTGCTAAAACTTAAAACACAAACTGCTTTGCTTTGTGTGCTTTTTAGACTGACATGACCAAAACATGATTTCTTGATTGTCATTTCATTTTTCATAGAACACCACGATGGAGTTTGACTTTCCCAAGGATACACACACCTTTGTCACACTAAGCACCACCTTGTCCTCAGACTGTTCTTGTACTGGCCTTGTTTACAAAATGGAATTTTTTTAAAAGGAGAAAAATGAAATGTTCACTTAAGTGAAATATGAATAAAATTACAGTCTCAAGCAAAGCCCATATTATTTTTAAAATCAGTGAATAAAACAAGGGAAATTAAATCGCAACCTTTACCTGAACCAGTTTTTCTTTAAAAAAAAAAAAAATAGTATTCCTGTAGTAGGAA